GGTTATCAGACGACACATGGGTAAAGTATTTTTGAGTTCAAAAATATACTTAGAAATAACTGTGATATGAACCACTGCACAAGATTTCAAGCGTTAGTGGAAACATTGCGGGTGTTGGTCCTTATTTTGCGAGGTAAATATGACGAGCACACCTCTACCGTGAAAATATATCATGCTAGCTTAGGAGAGTTATCATAGACTCATCATCGGGCAAGCGAGCTGAGAGAAAAGAAAGCGTCTATTTATTTTAGTTCTCGTCCGATCAGAGCTACCAACCTGAAAACGTGTTCGTTCTTTTGCGAATATCGCCCCTGCTTTGCATAATCTTTTCCCATCATCACCATTGTCGCTGTCATTATCGTCACATCGGGCGCTAGTCGCCCCTCATTTTCCTTGGCAGCGGCAAGTACCTCGTTATGGAAAATGGCCTGCCCAATTTTCTTTCATTCTGCCACATTGTTCACTTTGGTGCTTTGCATTGTTGGTATCTTCATACGCTTCCACTACGTTAGTATCTAAGATACAACGTGAAATATGAAACACTCAGAAGTTCGAGCAGGCGGCGAAACCTTAAACCCACGTCTCGCTCTGTTTCCTTGTCCAAGTAGCTGAAGCCCAGCATTGAAGCTCTGACATGTCCTATATTTCTTGCTTACATTTATATACAGGTCTCTCTTTGTGTAGTTATTCGTTAGTGCTTGTAGTTTGTGGGAATAGACTCTGTATTGTCTTGGCAAATACCTTTAAAAAAAAAAAAAAAACTCCCGAAGAAAAATATTAAAAAAATTATGGGGCATTTTGTTTTTACAAGAGCCTTTTAATAAATTGTTTTTGTTTTTGTTTTTCTAGTTTTTGATAAACTAACGACATTCCACGTGTTCCGTCCGACCTTCAATATGAAAATATGTGAAAACTCTAAAGGAGGCTTCGCCTCAGGAAGTGTAGTTGTGCGGCAGAGTACCCTTCACAGAGTGTACTGGGCAATCTCGGTAATGTTGCTCCGATTTGTTCTTACACCAGTTAAAGGTTTTGATATCTGACATAAAAAGGGTATTTAAAAAATAGGAGTTTTTCTTCTTTTTTGTCTGGAATGATTTTGGAAGCTATAACTTTAGCTTGTCTTGAAATATTAGTAAACCGGAATATAAAACGCCTTATTTCTGTTTCTCAAGCTCCCTCCTTAAAGGGAACCTAACAGCTCCTTGAAAAAGATAAGTTACCAGGTCAATTCTAAAGTAATCTTATCCCGTGAATCTTAATATCACGTTCGTTTTTCCCGAAGATGCAACTAAACGCGAGAAAACTCGAAAAACCTTCGACCAGTCGGTACGTTATAAAAGGACTCTCGTCCACCAAGCGCGTGTCGCTCGTGTGGGCATCGCGTGCCATTCCGAGCTTACCAGGTTGATTCCCCCGTACTAACACCAGTCGTGGCGTCTTTCTTTTATATTTATGAAAATAGCGACAGTGCGCGTGCATAGCCTTCATAGGCGCTGAAGGCGCCCGAGTGTGTATATATTCCAAAAACTCCTTTTATGGCGTAACGCTCCTGAAAGAAGGGGCTTCAGCGGTTCTTTGAAACCGATCTTCTGCAACCTCCGTGTATCAAATTAAAATATATATATAATAATAATAATAATAATTTTGATATTTGTGACCCTGGAGGCCAGATGACGGCGATTTAAGTGTTTCTACGTAAATACAAAACCGCTTCTGTTTCCCTTTAATATAAGTTCGTCTCAAAATAATTGAAGTAATGTACTTCGCCTATGCTGATCTCATTAAACCTTCTTTATCTCTGTTAGTGTCGTGATTCTTCAAAGTGTCATCAATTTCTTTACGTTTAATAAGATAGATCCACATAGAAAACAAATGTTGCCTAATAGCAACGTTGGGTTGGGCATTCGATTTCTCAAGGCAAAGCTCAAGCGGTTTTCAACTTCTTAAAACTTGACAGTCCCCGTTCATCCCCCCCCCCCCTCCCCCCGCCTTCTAAGAGAATAATGTGTGAATAGTATTATTGCATGTTGTTAGTAGTTGTAATAACAATGAAAGACGTTTACAAGTGTCTGCAATGCCGAAGTAGAGCGCAGCTTTTGAGGAGGAGGAGGGGCGGGTACGGAAGGAAGGGAAAAGCCCCTCCTCCCCATTCGTAGCCTTCCCTCCTCCTCTCCTGTTCCCCTTCCATTTAGCGGGAAATGTTTGCTGAATTTCCCGCTAAATTTAGCAGGAACGTTTTGCCGCTAAGTTTAGGGGGAAATTTTGCCGCTAAATTTAGCGGGTAATTTTTTCAGCTAAATATAGCGGGAAAATCTTGCGCTTAATTACGGGAATTTTTTTCCAATAAGTTTAGCGGGAAAATGTTTTTATAATGCAACGCGCGGTAACACCCGGTTGCATTACTCCCATAATGCAACGCGCGCGTTTACGCCGATGACGACGCCGACGCCGCTTAAGCCATAAACGGGCGCCTAAGAGCTGGGCTCTAAAATAACAGCATCACTATAGTTCTGCGCCCCGCAGTCTGCCGATTGTAAAAGAAGGCAGGCAGAAAGGAGGAGATGTAGCAAAAGTTACGGCATCGGCGTTGTCGTCAGGTGTCAGGGCCTTTCAAGTAACTCGGATATGCCAGCTCTGACGCCACGACATTTTTCACAAATAACTAGTGGCCGAACGATTCGCCACATATCCTGCGGTAATTGCTGCCCGATTAAAAAAATGTGTTTACGCTAAATCCTACACAATGTCAGAGCAATATCGAGAGTCAGGAGAGCAAAGTCTGTAGAAGCCCGATCCTGACTCAATTTTGTTTTAAAGTGTTTCATCTTTCATTTAACTTTGGGTGTTTGTAGTCATTATCAGCCGTAAAGGGACACTGACAGGGCATTTATGATCATCAAGGTTTTATTTGTACGTCACACAAGAGAGCCAAATTACTCAGAACACAATTTACGGTTTGAGATTCGTTTGATTTCCACCCGAAAACCACTCAACGAGAACTGGACGGTTTGAGTAGCGCTCACTTTCATCTCCGTGGTAACGTGTCGGGTTCTATGGTTTAGACACACACACCAAATATAATTAAAGTCGTGGGTCAATGAAGGCACACACCCAATATTAAAAATGAAAATAATAAGATACATTTTTTTCGCTCCTAAAAAAAACTGAAAACACGTTGATCGAAGAAAAAAAGTTGTACAGAGAATCGGAACCACTTTGCGCATTCTCTGCGTGATTCTCGACATGGCGTCGTATTGCGGGAGTCGTAGGCTGAACGGCTGAACGATGCGGACAAAGCGATGGCGGTGGACGACGCGCGCGGGACCTGAACTTTAGAACTGTTCTTCGCGGTACCAGCGAACCTGTCTAGCTTTGAAAGAAAAATCTTTTATAAAATAAAAAAATTAAGATTTATTTCGAAAGACACGCCCAACCACCAAGCTGATTCGCCTGAAGACGTCGTCCAGTTATCGCCCTTCTGGCCGAATACATCGCTCGTCTCACGAACACGGATCGGTAAGAGCTTGAAAAACGCGCAAACGTCAAGCACAAAGTGCCCAACTTTCGCGTTTTTTCGTGTGACGTGCGCGTTTTTCGCCTGCATCGCAGAACCAAACAACACGAAAGAAACTAAAAAAGAGAGAAAAAAAAGTGACTGGGTGTAACCACGCGAATTTCGGCAACCTCTCTCTCCACCTCCTCTACATTCCTTCCTCCTCTCCAGTACAGTTTCGGTTTCGATTTCGTGTAACTGCGTTTTTTTACTTTATTAAAAATATGCTTGACGCTGTATTCAAATATTTATTAGGGTAGTCCTCTAAGACCCTATTATATTGCCTAGCAAAATATTAAAACAAAATAAGATTCCATTAGAGCTTGGTGTTCTGACGTCACAACAACACCCGCAAAAAAAAGCAGACGAACTTCGCTCCGGATGATGTTAACGCCTTCTGCTTCCTTATTCGGTTATCGACGTACCGCCCTGCTAACGCCGCAATTTTACTGACTGCGAAAAACAGTAAAATTCACAGGATTCGCTCCGCTCTGCGTTATTCGAGCCGTGTGTTATTATTGGTATATGTCTGTATCTCGTGGGGCAACAGCGACCAAACTAAAACACTTGAATATTGCGATTACAAAAACAAATGGCAGAGACTTTTGGCTACAAAGTTATATAATGCATAAATTAAATATTTAAGGCGCGATCGTTGACATTTTTTGTGAAGAATATAAAGAACCGCGTCGGTGAGTGAGGTAGAACCTGTGTTTATATCAATTTCCCCGCTACACTTAGCAGTAAACCGACCTTGCGCATAAATCACGTGACGTCGGGTGATGTGATGTCAATTTTCTAGCTAAATTTAGTAAGAAAACTCAATCATTGTACACATCACAGGCAGGCAGGGCACTTGACTTTAAGTTTCTTGATAAAGTTAGCGAAGAAACATATTTGGTGTTTAAGTAACGTGCAGCGAATTATTTTCTCACTAAATATAGTGGGAAACTGAACTGGTCTGTCGGTCTCGAGACGTCAATTTTCCCGCTGAATTTTGGCATAAAAACTGACTTTATGCAGAGGTTATATCACGTCAGGACTCGTGATGTTAATTACCTAGACATATTTAGCGAAGAAATGCATGTCGGACGGGCGAAGGCACGAATGGGCGAATGTACGGACACTTAAAGAAAAAGTAAGTGAATAGGCGAGCTTATTGGTTTTACACATATTTGAAAAAAAAAAGAAACGGTGAAGACGGCCGAAGAAGAGGACAGACACATAACGTCTCAGTAAAGCTTAGACGTTATCCGTTTCTCCCCTCGTCCGTCGTCTCCGTCTTTTTTTTTTTTTAATTTCTGTGAATGGACAGATTTTTTAATCCCGTTAAGAATGCCCAGTATACTTTAAAACATATTTGTATTTACTAATGAAAAGTTCCCATTTACGACCGCACTTGTGAGCTGGGACACCCCGACAGACGAACCAATGCATCCGGTTCCAGAAACAGCACCCGAGCTCAAGTCCGTCTTCACCAAGAAGCTGGTGGACCTCGGCGAACGCTTTTCGCTCCGATGCGTCGCCTCGGGAAACCCTCTCCCTCGAGTCACGTGGGCCCTCGACGGCGGAGTCGTGGGCGAGAGTCACCGCGTCCACTACGGCGACTTCGTGAGCTCCGCCGGCGACGTCGTCAGCTACGTCAACGTGACGTCGTCGACCCGAGACGACGGGGGCCTGTACCGTTGCGAGGCGTCCAACGAACTTGGGAGCGCTTGGCACGACGACAGAATAGACGTTCGAGGACCTCCGCGTGTGCGGCCCATGGGCAACCTGACGGTGACGTCGGGGACAACGCTAATGTACCACTGCCCGTTCACCGGACATCCAGCACCCAAGGTGACCTGGTCACGAGGTAGGCCTACATCACTGAGTGACGGTGGGATACGTGACCACCGGCAAAAACAATGCGTGTTTCACGTATGGAGAGGGTAAAACTCCACAAAATTAACTGTAGAATTGTTGGCTTGCGTAGGATTCACGGCGTAACCAGATAAGAAAATGATTCCTGTGAGATTTGAATTAACTGAGGCTGTGCTCTGATATTTACTCCTGAATTTATCGATTAATAAATTTGAAAATACTGCAACCCCCAATCCTCAAATCGCAGTCCCTACAGGATGAGACAAAATTGACAAAGATAAAAACACACCCGTAAGGACGAATCATATTTAAAAAAACAAAAAGACAAGAATCTATGCTTATTTCTGCCAACAAACTAGACAACGTACTGTACATCTTACGCTAAAACGTACATTAAAATATATTTACATTTTATTCTTTTTTGTAATAACTAAAGCCTGAAAACGTTGTCGGCTTTTAGGAATGTCCTCAAAGATGTGTTTAGTTGAGATACTTATTTTGTCACCGGATGAGATTTAAGTGAGTGATAAATTAAAATTGAAATGAGTCTATTAAATGACATATAGAACTTGAATCGCATATGCTTTCTGCACACTCAGCGTTTTCAGTGTAAGTAAATATAGTATCTCATAGGGGCTGTCTAATTAATGGTATCTACTGAATATAAAGGTGCAGCTAAGCCTCTAATGTATCTCCCGCTTGATTTTTTTTTTTTTTTTTTTGTGAACGAATTGCAATCAAGGCTAGCATACTTTGGTATTCACCTAATTAATTTCTTAGATGCGGGTTTACACTACTGGGTGCTAGTAGTGAAAGTCGCTTTATTCAATACAATTTGTTTTCTTTCAGTAAAAGATACTTTGGCAGCCGGTGTATACATGTTTAAACGCTTCATAGTGATTACCCCATGGTAATCAATTCAGATAATTGTTTTAGTTTGAGTGTCATATATAGTGCATAAAAATTTCAGCAGGATGTATTTGTTGATCCGAGAGGCTCTCAAACAATATTACTTCGCTTGTTTTTCATTAGATCGAGAAATGCGGAGGGTCTTACTGCTTTAGCTGCAACATAAAATGCAGTTAAGCGCATGTTATGTTTTTTTATCTTACATGTTGTTTTTAATTTACCGAAAATGATGAAATGTCTCTTATTTTATATCTATTAAATTGCATTTGACGACTGGTTATATGGTATTAAATTTAAGAAAAAAAATTCTTTAAGTATGCAAAGGCAAAACAAATAAGGGAAGGGGAAAAGTTTGTCAGTTGCTGTTTTACCATTTCCCGAGCTATACGTCTCTTCAAGTATTTATGTGCGTAATGAACACATAAAAATGTTATATTTATATAAACAAGTTATTTAGTTTATAATTATGAAACATAACATTTCAAACAATGCTTTTTCAACGCGGAACTATTATAATGGTAGTAGGGCGAAATTGGCTAGGGCTTTGTTACCCTTCAAACATTCGTCTTTGTAGGAGGACGAGATCTGCCCCACAACGAACGGCAGCGTACCTTCGACAACGGGACTATTATAGTCGTCGACGTCACACGGGAAGCAGATGAAGGCGTCTACACGTGCAAGGCTACCACACCCAAGCTACAAGCTAAGGAAGACCTCCTCGTCAAGATCATCAGTGAGTGATTAAAGCACATCAAGCACAAAGTGCACACTCAAAGATCCCGCTTTAGTATCACCCGTCAACTCACTTTTGTCATAATTGGTTACATAAGGGCGGCGTCTTCTCCACCCCAGCTAAAGGGTCTGCTCCTGCTTCCTTTTGACTCGCACAGTTTTCGTTTAGACGTGTAATGGTCGTTCCTGTTAACTGTAAAAATAATTTAAACATTTCACAAGAACGTTCTCAAACACATCACCGAATTATGCAGAACATTTTAAATTCTTCGTGGAATTTATGATCCAGGTTAGTATTAATTGTATAGCCCATGGAGGGCGTGGTGAAAGATTTGAAAGTTAGTGAAATGAAAGTAGTTCAGATATAGTATTAAACGTTCGTTGATTTTTCCTTATGAATCAATGCAGGAGCGAATTCACCTTTCGATTTTTCTGGTTCATAATTAACTTTAGTCCTTGAAAGTATAAACATTTCGTAAATGTCTCTATTTTCAACCTAAAAGTACAGACATCCAGAACCCTCTCCCTCCTTCTTCCCCCGGGTAGCCTTTCATTCAGTGTAAAACTATTTAACTGAAAACACAAATGAATGAGAGCAAACCTGTTTGTTGATGTCCGCGCTGCTTAGAAATTCTCCGGACACACCTCGCTTTCACCCGTTTTGCAGAGAAGACGGTGCTGAACCCGTTCAGCTTTCCCAAGACCCTGGCCGAAGGGATGCAGGTGGTGATCACGTGCTCGGTCCGCTCGGGAGACACGCCCATCAAGATCTGGTGGCTCAAGGACGGCGTTCCCTTCAGCAAGACGCAGCTGAACATCCACGAGGCGTCCCTCGGGGACCTCGGCTCCAACCTGGTCTTCAACGAAGTGGGCCGGGCCCACAACGGGAGGTACACCTGCGTGGCGGAGAACGATGGAGGCATCACCAACCACACGGCAGAGCTGGTCGTCTTCGGTGAGGCGGGTTCCCTCTGACGTAGACTGAAGATCCGGAAAGAACACTGGGGGAAAGGAGGAGATTATAACGTGCAGGGACATCAGAGCGCGGAGCTCTGAATGGAAGGATTAGTGGGTAGTCGCAAACGTTATAATCTCCAACAAGATGGGAACGGCAGAGAAGGAGCTTCGTTTGTCCCGCCTTCAGCGCGAACTTTCTACCTTCTGCAACACTTCTCAGTCTTGTAAGCCTCGAGCTTGCACGCGCAGCCAAAGCAGGGCAGAAGGCGACGAGCGCCTCCTGGAGGCCGGGGCATCGAAAGAAACGCCCTGCGTTCTCAGCTTGTGATTGACTATGCGGAGTACAGTTGACGTCAGAATGCCGAGCTCTGATTGGCTCGGATGGAGGGATAGTGGGTAGACCTCAGTGGGTGCGTTACGTGGAGACTCCATGACTTCGACTCTAGTCACTCAGTCACTCCGTCGGACTTTCCACAAAACGGGGTTTTAGAGCACCTCCAGATGCAGTGTCGTCTTCTATGTAAAATTCCGGTTATTTTCTTTTACTTTTCCTTTTTTGGGGGAACATTGTAAGATCGACAAAGAAGAAAACAAAAGACCATAATTTGACGTTCAAGCTGCTCAAGCGTAAACTTGTGTCGTTAATGGCTGCTTATAACGAGTGGAATTGGGATTGAAGTGAATATAACTTCCCATCAAGCACGCAGGAATTCAATCTGACTATGCGTATTGCCAATAAAGGTAACGTTGTGCGTTTTATATTGCTTAGTCATTCCTTTGCGGAGAAAAACGTAAGTGAAGGAGGATCATGAAGTTGTGTACATCTAGGGCGCACCCTATCGGAATGTGGAAGCTCCGTTGTTTTCTTTAGCTAAGCGGCTTTGGAATCATTTAGTGGAACTGCCTCGGCAACAAAGAACGAACGCAATGTACGGTGAAAACGAGAACCGTTACGTCCTCAAGGTTGCGTGTGCCATGAACGCAATCAGATGAATGAAACTGAAAAACAACAACAGAAGAAACAGCTGGAGGACACCAGGAAGGGGAAGTAACAAAAAGCGTTTACAAAGGTATACGTGCATACGCGTAGCAGTTTGAACGACAATATCGGCATAAAGACGCAGAAAATTAATTTAATGCGTCACACAAGACTCCCAACAGATTTCCACTCCATCACAAGGCCGCAGGTTGATATAGATTAAATTTTCTTGCTTTTGCTATAATACATTAATCGGGAAATCCGTCAATTTATCTGATAACTTTGCTCCACGAACCAGCAGTAGCGAAATAGCTACCAAAACCAGCGCGATCCGCCCACGAGCAGTGTCCGCTTTCGATGGGACCAGGCGGAACTGCGTCACCCTTTCGGAAATAGAGCTTTCTGACTCCCCGAGCCCCAAGTCCGGGGACGGATCTACGGATTTTCACTCGAGTCACGGTCACCAAAAGTGCGTGTGGCACGTTTAGTGGAAGGTAAATCTTGAGACACGGCCTTGAAGTCATGACTCGAGTGACTCGAGTCATGACTCCGAGGCCTGTTCCAAAATTACTCGCCATTCCTCAAGGGTAAGGGTTTGGTACCTTGGCGTTCTACAACCTCATCGGGCATCCGACGTTTATAATCTGTGTTGTCACCTGACACGACACGCCGGACGGAGTAAGTCGGATCGGTTTGCATAAGATTTGGAACACAGCCTGAGTTGCTACTTAACACACCAATGCTAGCTATTTCGAGGTCTGCGCACGTTTCCGTCCTATCGGAACCAATCAGAGCTCTTCGTTCTGACGTCACCAAAACTCCAGCTCAGCAAGCAGACTTGCTCACCGCAAAGCTGTATTTGGGTCTGCTCACTGTTGAAACGCGTTCGAAAGCCGAACGCAGGCGTCTGGCGTTCGAATCCGAGAGACTTTGCGAGGAGCAGACGACGCTCTTCTTTGCTCTGAGTGGATGAAGGCTGGGGAGAGACAAAGTCTGCTAGCCTTTGCCTCGGCCCACTTATCATTTTAGTCATAGTTCGGTGGTCTGATTTCTCCCTGCCCTCTCATTTTTTTATACCTCACCGTATTTTCGGCCAGCGAAAAAAAGATTTGATAGCAACGCTACTGTTCGTCTTCAAAGAACAAATGCCAAGATTTCAAGAAATGCTGAAGTTTAATGTGGGTACTTTTTTGTGAAAGAAACTTTGTACATGCGCCCCTAGGCATCATTGGAAACACAAAAGTATAATCCTTGCAGTCATTTTTACAACAACAAATAGGCGAAACAAGATGGCAACATCACTTAATAAAGGAGCCTATTGGAAACCGTCCAGAAATAAAGAAAAAAGTCACGTAATTTTTTTTAATGCTTAAGACACACAGTTTCATTTTATATACTTTTGTGCCTTTTAACAATAAACAAAAGAGGTTAGAAAACAAGCCTTTTTGCGGTTATTTTATTGTTTCGCTGAACACCGCCAAAGTGGTAGGTTACGTATGCTTTGCCCAAGCGACACCGCCACCACCAAGCGGGTGCACTTGCGTTGTCTGCTCCTTCTAGAGTAAGTAAACGAGGGATGTCAACTGAAATGACAACGTGGAACTAGTCGTTATGGTTATGCAAAATGTGGAGCTATTGGCAAGTATCGTTGTCGCAATCTCTCACATGGTAACAAATGATTGCATCAACCTACCACATAAAAAGGCTTAAAGGTGCGCTGATGAGGTTTCTGAGATGGCATAAATATGGCGGTAATTCCGTCTGCTGTCTTTAAGCATCCTATAGATCACTAAATCATGACAATACGCGGCCGACTTTTTTTATTAAAAAAGCAACCAAAGAGTGAAACACATCGAATTCATCTCCGGCGTTAAGAGGAGGATGTTCCCAGATCAGGACGACTGTCAGCCAATAGCGAGCGAAGGATCCTCGCCTCTCCGGCCGTTGGAACCGTTGAGTGATATCTGGAATGCGCGCGGCTCGTTCCCCGTACAGCCCGAACTAGGGTTCAACCCAGTGAGCAAGCGCTCCAGAGCTGACAACCGTACACATCACATACGCAAAAACAAAACAAAAACAAAAATAACATAGTGCGTTTCTTTAGAGACGATAATTGCTGCATTATGCGTGTTCCTCCTACAAAAATAACATATTTTGCAGGCGTTTTCGAATATTTGGCTCCGTGTCTATCATGTGCGCGTTTCCGAAGTCGATCCGATGATCAAATACCTCACAATGTTCCGCGACGGAGCTACGCTCGCGATCGAAATTGCGCACATCGTTCTGGTGCTGGCGCATGCGTTCGGGAAAAGATTTAGTTTCACCGATGTAGGCGGCGGGGCACTCTGCACACGGTATCTTATAGACCACGCCTTGTTCTTTTTATTTTGGGAGGCGATCTTTCGGCCTTGGCATGAGCCGTCCTAATGTTGACACTGGCTTGTGCGCCACTTGGATTCCTTCTATTCGGAGCACGCGCGCCAGTGTCTCGCTAATCCCTTTCACATAGGGAACGCTGATGCGCGATTGTTCCCCAAACCAGACAGATTTCAGTCGAAGATGTTTACTTTCATGCAGACTTTGTAATAAAAGTGCTTGCAATCTCAACAAAATGTCGCAGTTTCATTGCTCACATGCCCGTCCTGGCAGCCGGTATAATGGTGCTCCCATCGCCTGAGATAATTCCGATCTTCAATTGCATTCTTTTAATAGTGCAATCGGTCGCGCATCGTTAGGATTTATGAATATCTAGGATGCTTACAGCTCGCATAGTGAGTTATGGCCATATTTAGGCAATTTCAGAAATCTCCTCGGGGCACTTTTAATGGAACAAAGTTATCATTGTACCCTGCTGTACCGCACCTCTCGTTTGAATAGAAAATGGAGCACATCGATGATGTCCTACTCAATTTAGTGTGATCGATCTGCGTTCCCTCTTCCTCCCGCATGGATCCGATACCGCGGAGCCGACGACGTATCGTTCGCCAGTTTGAGTACTGCGTATACGAGCGAACGCAAGCACTGTGGGTTCGCGCTAGTGTTGCGCGCTCCGCACTGCGCGTGCGCGGAGCCCGAAAAATGCGGTCTTGCATCGGTGCATCCCCACGACGCAGAGGCGCTTCGTGGAGCACGCAACGCTAAAGCAAACGCACAGCGCTCGCGTTTGTCGTTCCCGTATACAGTACTAAAACTCTATTATTTTCTGGAGGGTGGAGGAAAGGGACGCGGGCGCGAATAAGGCTTGAGGGGCGGAGGTTCCTCAACTTGCGTCACTACGTTTCTTAACTCGTCACCCAACTTCAACAAATAGCTCCCGAGTCTTACCCGCCAATCGTAGACGCTGTTTCGTAGCTATACACCAACACGCGGCGCTGACCTCACGCCGCAACGGTGGGCGCCGCCATTGGCAGGGCGCGTGTGCGGACGCTCCACTTGACGCTCATCTGGTTCCTGCGCATGCGCTGTGTCCACACTTCGTTGGGGGCTGGTTCGGAATCAGCGACGAAAGCGTATCGTCACGCCGCTCTCTCAGTCTACTTTGTGCCTTTGCCGTCGCCGGCTAAATCAATTTGGCACATGGAATGCACCGTCATATTGCTTTTTTGAGTGTATGTGGGCGTCATTGATTAGGCTGCAGACAGCGAAGATGCAAAAGAAAAGGCAAACGCCGTGACGACACACTTCTGGTACAGCTTGATTTGACTCCATCAAAGCGTCGCGTCGGCTGCACTAGAACTTGGCGGGAAGCAAAGCATAGCAGCACGTGTCTCACGGTGTCCAACCCCACCACCCTTTGTCTTTGTATGGAACGTGCAGGGGATTCTACCTCTTGATATTTGATATCTTTAATCAGTCTTCTCGTTTTGGTAACAGAAATGTAATCTCAGGTGCCCTTGAAAGTGCAGAATTTTTATTGCTTAAGATAAATAGAATTTATAGGATATGCAATGTTTATACCTAAATCGGCGTTGACATTAGGAATCGCCATATGGTTTTGCTTTTAGCTTCTGTTTAGAACGAAACACTTGTGTAACAAAAATATATTGTTTCGAGTAAATAAAAAAAAAACAGGTGCAAATGATTGTGCGTTTTCAGTGCCTCCGAAGTGGAAGATAGAGCCAAGTGACAAATCGAGCATCGTGGGGTCCAGGGTTACTTTCGACTGCCAGGCTGACGGTCACCCAGCACCGCTGATTCGTTGGAAGATCGCCTTGGGTAAGACGGCCTTAACGTACCAAATACATGCTCTTAGAAACCAACAACACAAATTTTGTTTCAGTTTTTAGATTATTGTATGGTTGCACGGACTAAATATTAGATGAAAGAACCCACCAAATTTTGGAACCTACGAATACACTTATTTTTGTGATACGTATGTACTTCGACCACCATAAATCCATTCCTTTCGATTTCATGCCTTGTGACGCATGTATGGGAAAGCTACTATTTGTTCATAATTAAGTTTCGGGCCACAAAATGTGGACGTCCATGTCCACGTTATTTTGAAAAGGGTTTGACACTCTTGTACTGAAGATTCAAATAGGCTCGCCTACGCATCTGATATAATTTTGTCTCGTTTTACAAGCTTTAGTGTGCAATATTTTTCACTCTGTATTTAGGTGCTAATGCATGCAAACGTTTGTTCAGCGAGATTTTGAACAAACTGCGTCTTTCTCAAATGCTTTCAAGAATGTAAACGTACCGCATATGAAAATCATAACATATAAATAATGAAATGAGCATTTTTGCTTAGGGTTATATCAAAATATTGGATGCAAAAATGCAAAACACTTATCAGTGCTTTAAGGAAGAACATGTTAAGAAAAGATTTGGTTCGTTTAAATCAGAAATATGTTTAAATTAGATTGTTCTGTTCTAATATATTCCGAACAACAGAAATTTATTGAGCAGAGAAATGAAGTCTTTTGTAAAAGAATAATTTTTGTAAATACCCGATACGTACAAGTAAAGAACCACAGAGGGCGGTCTTCTACACATTTAGAAATTACGCACTTTATTGGTGTGCCCCCAGATTCTAAAATTAAAATATTTGAGTGGATGACACTTGCAAGCACTTAGCAGCATATCTCTTTCCTTCGAAGAGCTTTCGGTTTTGTAGTTTTTGCACTTAACTTGTAAACTACTGACCAGAAAAATTTACAGTTTCAATGCGGCTTAAATCTAAACGTCATCGTGTAAACATAGGCGAATTATTCCGCAACTCACCGAGCGTAAAAACATCGCTCTGTGAATGTCAAAATGTTTCAATTAACTCATGTAACTAGCACCAAAAGAATCGCGTTCACATTACAATAAATAAAATATTCTCTTCTAATATCTGAATGATGGCGGCGCCACGCACGTCTGCGCTTGCGTCGTCTTAATATCTCTAAAAAGGATATAAGTTGGGAGTATTACAGATGGTGGAACTCAAAAAATAGTCAGAGTGCAGGCGAGCTGGTGTAAGTTGAACATGATTGTAAACCTGAGACTGGGGCAGAAAAGAGAACACAACAGAAGGTAGTAAAAAAGGAGGCAACGTCTCAATCGTTGCATCCTCGTTTACATCCTTTTGTTGTGTTCTCTTTTCTGCCCCAGTCTCTGGTGAAACTCGTTAGAGAAATTCAAAACCCTCTTGCAATCTGTAGGCGTTTCATTAGTGTGCATAGGACTCCCACACTGTTGCAGCGCACCTTGATTAATTGACACATATCACGCTTTGTTTGCTTCGCGGACATAGGAATTGCACTCTCGTGTGCTGTTTAATCTTGTCGAGTTCAATCAAGTCTCACGGAAGTTTAAACACGGCGTTGCTTCTATATACGTTTCATATTAGACTTTTCTTTTTCCTTTTTAAACAAAACGAAGTAGTGAAGCGGAAAATGAGATATTGGCACACCTTCAGATGGTTAGGGTACGCAACCATTTTTTTTTTTTTTTTTTTTTTTTACGTGTGGCAGTTTTGATTTGCGACATTCATAAATAAAAACAGAAATGCGGTGATTGCTAAACAAATCCGGAGCTGAATTAAAACTTAGAGTGCTGCCATTGATTCTTGGGCTTGCCTTCAGAATCGCAGTTGCACTGGTACGGCGCAATCTTTTTAAAGGATGTGCTAGTCGTGCGATTAAACGACAAAACATCAATAATATTTTGTAGTCCGAAAATTATAACAAATTGCTTGAGGGTGTTATACGCCGACTGGGATTTTATATTGAGAAATATTCGATAATTATACCAAACGATCATTTTGATTTGCATAAAGAATCAGCAACAAAGATTGCTCTGAATACACAAGCCCTTTGGCAATGCCTCATTTTAGAAGTAAAAATTAAATGCCCATAACGTCGGCGCTCTTCAAACAGTTCATCGATGTTAATAAATAAGATTTGTTTTACGGTTTATTTTTCCTTCAGGAGGTTCATAGTTAGTGCATAAAAAATACTTTTTCTTACCGCATGATTGAGTGTTAGAAACGTTAAGGTTTTGTTTTATTTCGAATTTTTTACATCAATATAAGCGTCGGATCTTAGAAATAAAATCAAAACTATGCACAAGTCACTATCACTGCTTCCTATTTTTTTATATTTTTTATTTTATTTTACCCTCCTTCGAAACACCTTTATCTCACCATGCAGTGTTTCAAACACAACAGTTTTTTTTTAGTTTGGATATGTTATTTATAATAACGATATCATCGTCGTTTCTCAGAAACAAAATCGGAACTGCGCACTAACCAGAACAATCACCGCTTTATATATTTTTGTTCATACTTTTTTTCTTCCCTGTTTCTTGTTTTTATTTTATTTTACCCTCCCTGCCTCCTGCATCACTCACTCTTTTCCCCTCTTTGTCTTCTCCTTGTCTCCACTTCTCAGGCGAGGACCCGGGCAAAACGTTCAAGTCCATAATCAGCAATTACCATATGCAGATGTTTGAGAACGGTTCGCTCATCATCAACGACGTGGAACCCAAGGACGCTGGCAAATACTTGTGCGAGGCCACCAACGGCATCGGCGTCGGACTCAGCACCGTCGTTCGCCTCTCGGTGCACGGTCAGTGGATCACTCGAATGCGGCTTTGGAGGAGATCTGCACCGCCTCTCCGAGGTTCCTCTCAGCGTGCTTGGGAAAAAGTGCTGCCGTTAAATAAAATTACAAAAAGAAAAAAAAAAGAATAATTTCAGCAACTTGCGTTGATAATATCGAAACGCAAAAAAAAAAAAAAAAGAAACGGACGAAAACGTGACAGTTACTTATCTGTGTACTTAAAGTTACTATCATACCCTCATAATGGAAGAAGGTTTGTGCAATTCTGGAATATAGAAGAAAAAAAAAAAACGTACCGTTGAACAAGAAAAAAAAAATACGATGAAATTTTATAAAGAAGGATGCTAAAATCCTCGGGTAAGTTGGCCAAACTGCTGAAAATAAAATTCAATAACTCGGGCAAAATGGTATTCGGTTACAAACGAGGATGATCCAGATCCCCGGAGCCAACCCATGAAATATTGTTAATTAAAAAAAAACAGTTGATGGTACACTTTTAGAGAAACGGAACAACAAAAGCTTCATTCGATTGCCTGATACATTGACTTATTTAGTCCACAGTACTAACAGTCAAGAAACTGGACCAATAATAATGGCGAGCCGTGAAGAAAAAAAAACTACTCGTAGTTACGTAGAACCTCAAAAATTCATGTTCTAGTTATATTCTTTTTTGATGGCTTTGTAGCTAGTTAATCCTGAGAGACAGAAGTTAGTCATATTGTGGTGAAGAAAACGTCCTTCTGGTAGTTTAACACACTGAGTGGATTGTTCCCCTCGTCCTAACTAAACAAATAAACTAAAACAGTGGTCACAGTATTTTTATTAAGTAAGAACGACGTTTCACTTTTAGGAACAGTGAAGTGAGGCTACCTTGAGTGCACAAAAGACTGAATCGTGAGCTTAATTTTTCTGATTTCCTGCTTTTCAGGTCGAATGTTATTGTATCGGCGAGGCACCGTACTTGTAGAAAATAAGGCAATACAAGTGGTTCATTTGAAAAAAGCGTTTGAGGTTCTCTAAAAGTAAAACAAATACTGGTTCCGACTTGGCTTGTTTCGCGTGTGTGCAGTGGCGGCTCATTTCAAGGTTAGTTACCAGGCCCTGCGCGTGAACAAGGGCGAGCAGGCAAGACTGGTGTGCGAAGCATTCGGAGAGAGGCCACTCGCCATGTCCTGGAAGAAGGATAACCTCATCTTGGATCACCGGTACATCTCCAGGTTCGTACGAAACTTAATTGCCGCTAGAACCATGGAAGCCCAGGGTTTCCCTGTCTAGCAAGCCGGTTGAACCTAAATGTGTGCGTTATAAACTTGTCTTTTTATCATTTTGTTTTTATGAATAAGACACGCTGATATTGCAAGTACTTTGAAATTGTTCATTAAATGTCGCTTCATAGGATTAAAAGTAATGACACTGAGACTAAGAATAAGACAGGATATACACCAACAAGCTCCAACTAATAAATATGGTTATTCTTCCTTCCTTATAATGAAGGGGTGCAAAAGACAGTGTCATTATTTATAATTATTCGCAGCTCATTTTTATCGAAGCATAAAAGATCAACTAGCCCTATCCCAAGTAACCGTGAAAAACTTTAAAACCGGTTTGTTTCCCCCCCCCCGCCCGCCCCCCCCCCCCCCCCAAAAAAAAAAAAATCAAAAAAAAATCGGGCTTTTAGTTTATTTTGTGACTGAAACAAGATTGAAATCAGCGCGTTTAAGACTACTTTTTGCACACTGTATTGTCATTACAATATTGTTATTCAGATAACGTTTTATCGGAAAAGACATGTCATGGGTTTCACGTTTTGAATAAGCAAGGTATTATTTTAGGACTATTTAGAATTACCAGTATGAGCCTCGCTTGTATTAATCATCGTTTCAAGAAACATAACATTTCTAAATATTATTTTTTAGAACGGTTACTGTGGGTGTTCTGTGAAAGACTGTCGCTGCAGAAATATCACGAGGCATCTGAAAATCTTGATGCTCTTATACTTATTTCACATGGAATTTTTGTAAAACTGCTTTATTTCACAATATTTCCACTTAACTCAGTTATTAACAGCCCATTTTGCTCCATGTTATAACCATTTTTTTTGCAAAAGTTGATTTTTTCACTGCTTTGTAAGCGATTCTTCGTAAAAACAATAGCGTCAGTGTTTACGTTTTTACCTACATCGAAGGCGAGTTATTTCGCGCACGACAATTCCTAGAGTTCTACCGCAACATTCGTGAAGTAAACAAACATTTTAATTACTCATAGTATGAATTGTAATTGTCACACATTTCCCGTTGAATGTCATTCGGCATTGGGCGCAATTATCCCACGGACGATTGATTTTCCGCATCCCCCCCCCCCCCCCCCCCCTTATTTCTCCTAAGGACAAGCGGCCTACTGTTATCTCAAATATAGCGAACTAATCGCGTCGCATCGGTACCAAAATATATCTTTCGAGAGCAGAAAGTTACTTCCGACGAAACGAATTAGGGCGGCCTACTTTCGGCCCCACTTTTTCCCCCGTCGACTCCGCTCACACACTCATCATCTCCGACCTGTAACCGGCGTACCCAGCACGACGCGGGGCCCAGTGACAGCCACATTCATCTCTCGACAAAACTTCCCAACTGTTTGAAGTAGATTCTCGCAGCGCGGCGGGATCAACATCTCTCGCGCTGCTGCGCTGACGAGATGCAAACACGCCGCGCCGCGTCGCGCGATGCCGAACGGTTCCATCGATCGGCTATTTCCGTGCGCGGATACACACGTAAAGCGGGAACCAGACTGCGGGAACCATTACGGCCGCCCGTGCCGTGTCTCTTTGCTCTGCGGTTGGGGGTTTTCAAATGGCCGGAGTTAATGCCGACTTTAATGAAGCACGCAGATCTGCGCGCGGCCGGCTAGACACGCACCGATCCAGCTGCTTTCGCACTCTCTGAGAACATGAAGCAGAGTGCGCTAAAACGCGATACATTTATGCTAATTTCATGGATTTCCCGTAGCAAGATATCTCCGTTATGAAAAAAGGGAAGAAAAAACTTAGGGACTGGGAAAACATTATTTGGATGTTATAAGAGACGAGGATATATGAAGGTATATGTTCATCGAGAAATTAAGAAACACAGTGTTGCCTGCTATGTTAATTGACACTTCTTGCTTTCGTGACCTGGGCTTGGGTGGTATTTTGGCTAATGTCAAAGTCCAGTTGGCTCAGCAGCGATAATACGATGCCCATGACTGGTCGAGCTCTGCGTTTCTTGGGCTGACTATGCTTATAGGTCAAAAGATAACTTACGTCAGAGCTCATTATATGTGCGAAGTTAAACGAACTTTCGTGAGTCGCGTGAACTGAAAGATACTAATTTGATACGTGAACTTATGTCGCGTCTTAGAAATGTTAGCTTACATTGACCTTCGAATTAGACGAGAATAGAGAAACATTCTCGTTCAAATATGAAATCGCAGTAATATTTATTTTTGATCCCAAAATAAGTGAACTTACATAGCGTGGAGCAGATAGCCAGGTGCTTGTTTGGAGGAAATTCATCAGGGATCTATGGCTACCCAAATGACCGTATCAGTATATCCTACAACCTCGCAACAATACACTTTCTCCTGAGGTTCTCCATTGGCGTCTTTTCGTTCAGTCAGAAGGAACCTTTAATGAGAAAAAAAAATGTAGGGCACCAATAAACTACTACATTGCCACGTTCAGGACAAATGCGCAGCTAATTACGTAATACCAAATTCATTATGAGTTAAATGTATGTTTATTACTGGGCTTTAAAAATGCCCTAAGAGTGCGCTAACTCCTTAGTGTATATTGTCCCGAATGACAGGAGCAGAAGTGGCGAAACTTCCGTTTCAAACTGAAAGTTTAACGGGACGAACTTGCGCCAAACAAAATTGAAAACGAGCCTCGGTACTGCAGAAAAGCGGGCGGCGATTTGGAGGCGTAACAGCGAGGGAGAGCGAGACAACCTTGACAAAGTCCCATGCAGCTCCTTACCCAGTATGAGTCGGCATATCGAAAGTTCGGCCCAGAAGGTTCGAGGGTCGAGGGTTTGGGGTGAGGATGAACAGGCACTTTCGAGAACAATAAAGTAGGACGAAATATAAAAGTTCCATTCCGAGTGAGAATAAACACGAACCTTCTATAAGTCTTGTGAAGGAACAGTGGCAAACGAACCTGGAGAAATATGTAGAAACACACACGACAGGACGCGCTGAACTAACAACTTATTTTTTAATGTTTTTTTCCGCCCCACAGAAAATGTGTCCGATATGTGCAAAGGTCGGTGCTATCGCCAAAAAGCGGTCGAAAAAGAAATGCACCAGAAAGCACGTAGTTCCGTTTGTGGCTTGTGTGTCTGCCGTGGTTTCTAAGATCCCCTTGTCGTGTGGCAATGTATACGTTGGACGGACCCACCGCTGTCTAAATGGCAGACTAAGAGAACGTTCGTATTCACTCATGATTACTGTTGGGGGGTCTACTTTTACACTGCTGGGACTGCAAATGTCTGCCTGATATGACTGAAGTCACTGTTTTGGATAAGCATAGAGACAGAGTGGCAAGGGAAATTATTGAGGCGCTCATTATCTCGGAACTTGCTGGGAGAGGCGTCAGCGAACATTCAGTGACTTTATCTGAAAAAGAAATGAAGTTCCTTCCATCAACTATGAAGGGCGTCACGTAGCAACTCATGAGGCCTATCTTGAAAAAAAAGATTATGCTGCTTGGTGTGCACGCGTGTTGTGGCTATATTGTATAATTGAGATGCTTCTTCTCTTCTCGTTTTTTGTGTATTAAAAAAAAACAGGTGTTAATCAGCGCCGTCCTGTCGTGTGTGTTTCTATACCCTTGTCCAATTTCCTTTCCGCTGTTCCTTCCATAGATGTTCACTTCAAACCAACTAGCCCAATACGTGACATTATTGCTTCTAAAAGTCTACGACAGACTGTCGCTTGCTAGGCCCCACGCGCGGCACTATCCTCCCTTTAAAAGTACATTGTTCCGATGCAACGCAAAACGAAAACAAAAACAAGTAATAAAACAAAAAAAAATGAAAGCCGTTTACAAATCCCTGTAACGCCGAATTGGAGCGCAGCTCTTGAGGAGGAGTAGGGAAGGTTACTGAGGGGGGTCACGTCACCTGCGGGTAGTCACGTGACCCCGGGGGGTCACGTGATCTCGGGGGAGCGGGGGTCACGTGACCTCGGGGGGATCACGTGACCTCGGGGGGGGGGGGGGGGGGAGTCACGTGACCTCGGGGGTCACGTGACCCCCCCCCCCCCCCCCGGTTACGCCGACGCCGGTCCGGCTGGAAACGGGCCCCTAAGAGCTGCGCTCTAAAAGCACGGTGAGATGAAATAAACATGCAGCGTCTTCCGCGCGTAGAACGGCTTCAGTTGAAAAACGACGTGGACCACTCCGGGTCGTGGCTGGCGGCGTCCTGATGGTCGTGTTCCCCGGAGAGCACCTTGTAGTTCAAGTCCCCAAGGCGGGGAAGGACCTTGTTGGGTCCGAAGTAGCATTTTCATAGTCTTTCGCTGAGGCCGCGGTGGCAAATGGGCGTCCACACCCCCACATTGTGTCCGGGCTAGAACTCCACGTCGCGACGACGAAGGTTGTACCTTCCAGTGTCGACACGCTGTTGGTCGTTTATCCGAAGGCGGGCCAGCTGGCTTACCTCTTCTTAGTCGATCGAACGTGAAGCAGGGCAGTTTGGAGTTGGCAGTAGCTCTTTAAGCTATTCCCGGACGACGTCGCCGATGATTAAGCGCAGGTTTTCAAAACCGACACCATCGACGTCAAAGTGTAGTGTTGAGGAGGGAAACAGTCGACACACCGGCGAGTCTTTGATAATGACCCGCTCTGGATGACAGCGCTCGCTCTATTTTGGTTGTCTCGGTCATAAATTCTTCAACGGTAGTCGGTGGGTTGCAAACAAGTACGCCGAAGATTTCCGCACTTCGGGCCTTTCATAAAAAAGCGCAACGTTGCTTTTTTTTTTTTTTTTTCTTTGTTGGCTTACGATTCGGCGCGTGCAGTTAGTCGTAGCACATCTGGAACGAAGCTGGTTACGCTTTGGTTTGGTGCTTGAATCCGTGTTCGAAGCAGATTATACACCCGCTGCCGCCGGTGTTGGCTCGTAAAGGTCCGCTTGAACCCGGCCACGCTGATGTCTCACGACATAAACAAAACCTCGTGATTTTC